CATGGTTAAATAGTTTATGCGAAATATTAATATTCAGAATCTCGGCGTATTCAGTTAAAGTGTTTTGTTGTGACTTACATTGTTTTATCCAGTTCTTTATCAGACAAGTTTATTCAATAGATTACTTTTAACAAACGTACATTATAACTAATTGTTTAACCGACAAGAACATGCCTGCGTTCATATACGTCTTCGACCCAAAAATGATAACTTTTTAATCATTGATTGTTCTGATATATTTGTAAAGACATTAACAATAATTTTGAGTAACTGATTCATCTGTGCATGGCGATGCGCCAAACCCAGGAAATAACAGTTTGAGAGTCATGTATGCCACATAAGTATCCAAACTTTCAATTTCACATAATAAAATTTGGTAAAACTAGAGGGTATTATTATTGAGCGGCACCACAAATTAATGCTACAGATGACCGCATTTACTATTAATTAGACTGAAAAGTGTAGTGACGCGATGCAGTTGATTTGGTTGTTACTTGTTTGTTACTTGTATAAAGTAATCAACATTTTAAATTATATAATATTCCAATAAAATGTCTTTTTCTTATGTATTAAATTTGGTAGTATTATTCAGTAGTGAATAGAAATTACAAATATTTAAATACAGTTTTCACCACATGCATTACAAAAGATGTGATGTAAAAAGTATTTTCAAACCTCATTGATTTGATTTTATCATTTATTTTATCTGCAGTTCTTACCTGGATATGGAAAGTCAAACCACTTGGAATCAGAAAGTAAGTTCAATCTGGTATCCGTGCGTGCCTGGTATCCATATGACTCTGGATTATTTGGTAATACTTCAGCGACAGTTAGGACGTAACACAGTAACCATGCAAACGTTATAGCAATGACAACCTAAAAATGTTAATAATGTATTAAACATGTCACTGCGTATACGCAATCTGATGCGATTATTAGCAACATTCGCATTTAATTTTTTTTTTGATGATTCATTAATATTATTGGGTACGACTTCAGGTCACGGCATTGGGTGTTACTTGCAACGCAAGGTGGAAGCACAACTACAAGTTTAGTTGCAAAGTTGTTTATTTTCATTTCACTACGCAATCAACTCAAATTGGTGTGGTTGATGTTCGTTTGTGATCTAATTTAAAAAATATCAATCTCCTTTGAATACAAATTTAGTGTTTTCTCGAATATTACTGGCAAAGTGGTATACCGACACCGCCCGAATAAACAACGCCACAATGAGCAAATTAAGTATATATACTTCCAAATAAAGGGGTCGCTAATCTGAGATCGCATAAAGGTTTAATTCAGGCGACAGGTAAAATGGTGTACAATTAAACGTTTGATGATGATACGATAACCGTCAATGTCAGTAGCACAATTACAACGCACTAGCCCGCTGTTTCACTTGTTTCCTATCGTATACATTTCACTAATTAAATCTCTCATCGCTAGGTAACCTTGAGTTCCCGTGTCGATATCTCTGCACAATAATTGTTTGACGTTCGATCATTCCAACGTTTAAAATTCATTTGAAGCTTGCAAATGTGATATTAATTACATAATGGTTTACTCTGGCGCTATTCCAAACTCGTTGTGTGTGCACAGCGAAAGTCGAAATTTCAGTACTTTGGATTAGTAAACCAGGATTTTCACCTGCATGCGAATCATCTATTTTTAGGCTAAACTGTCAAAAATGTTCACCCTGCATTCTCTCTCCGTCACGCAGGAATCACACTCTGAATCGTAATACCTCCATTTTTACAATTTCAATTGGCTAATAACTGCAACATAACACCTATTTCAAAGCATTTTTGATGTGAGCAAGCTGAGAACCACTGGTAACATCCTGGGTATTGCATAGTAAACTAATCATTGTAGCTTGCATCTGCTCGCATGGCCGAAACGGAAACAATTGGAACGAATCGGATGGCAATTCTGTCCAAATAAAATGTGAAATTTCACAATGTGAAAATGTAATTATGTGTGACGTGTATGTAACTATTGCTTTTTCTCATACTACACAAACCGAATTAACTTACAGGCAAGAGTGTGAATAGTGGATATGTTGTAACGTGACACCCCTCCTTTCTAGTCCATACGCAACAAGGAACGTATATATTCTTCATATACTGCGAGAATAAGATAACCAATACCATAGTACTGTGACGTAATAAAATGCAAGGTAATTGTGTGTATGGACAAAACTTAATACGGATATAATGAACAGAAACTGCAATTCCAAACATTATGTATACTTACAGAAAAGATATTCCCCAATGTGATCCCGCGAGATGTCCTGCGTCTACGAATAGCGATAGACCAACCAGCGAAATGGTGGGTGCAATAGCAAGAGGACCGGTGAAACGTAATAAAATTCCAACAATACCGGTAAAGCCACCAACCACTAGAAAACATGACGCAACAGCAATGGACCCTTGTATCTGAATGGGAACATGACATTCTTTGGTAAATTGTAGTGTACCGAATCAGGGGCGGATCCAGCAAAATGTCCAGGCTTCGTTTAAAATTTACGGAGCGTAAATCGCAGAGAAGCTATGCGTAATCCAGATGATTGAATGTCGTTTTGGGGGCATGGCCCCCTGCCCCCCTCTGGATCCGCCACTGTACAGAATGCACTTAAAACTTTGTGTAATATTTATAAAAACGAAATTCGTACTTCTCTCATTCTCACTTGCCACAGTTCCCTGCGTTCACCACTCGTCATATTGGCGATCGTTTCTGGAAAACCAACACATTTTATCCATTAAAAATGGAATGTACGTATAAACAGGACGTTTATTATTTGGTTTTCGATATTTCTAATAGTGTACGTACCTGTGGCCGGACAACTCCACTCGGGTAGTGCAAGAAAGGCCAGTGTCGCCACTAAGAACGCGAATGAACCTCCGTGTACTACAGGTAATCTGTTGAAAATAAGCGGACGTAATAAGTAATAATACAATAATAAAACGTCTAAAATGGATACTGGACATGTGATTGTGATTAGATTAGATATATAAACGAGCAGAATGCACGTCTGTTATGCACGGGGAGATGTTTTTCTTTTTCTTTTTGTTTTGGGTTTTTAAGCTGAACATTTTTATAACTTAATCAATCTGCTTTAATAATTGGAAATTATGTTAGCAACAGATGAAAATGTCATAAAACAATCAAATACAATCAGGAGGTGCAGTTTGCTATCAGAAAATCGGTATATAAAAGTAGGTTAAAATTATCAAAACTGAACCAGGGCTTTAAAACTGTAGAAATACAAAACATATATTTAAAATCATTACAGGTTTAGTGTACTAGAACTTTGTATATGGACCTGCACAGAATAACAAAAACGCAGAGAAAATATAAATGTTATACAGTTATAATGTGCAATGGTTCGTTTTGATGTTTCGTAATAAAGAATGTTCATAAATTCAAACGTTTTCAAGTTGTACAATTGTGTGGAGGTGCGTTAATGAGCGTCACGTTATTCCTTGCTGTGCTATCCTCGGGGCGGAGCTACGTCACGGACGTTCTACGTTGCTAAGACGCGCACCACTCTACCACGTATTTCTATGGGCTCAGTGAGCGCTGCTGTGGAATGCCGGTCGAGCCGGTGAAAATTCGAGAAAACAACACAAACTCAACTTTGAAGTAATCCTGAACAACCAAATTTATATATGTTATACATGCGAGACTAATCTTGTTACACTGTTCAGGGGAGTCTCAACAACCATCCCCAAAGTACCGTTTTCTGAGAGTTTTTGGCCTTTGTTTTCACCGCGATGGTTGCCAGGCGGTGAAAATGCCCGGATGTCCGCCCCCGAGGATTCCATGTAGTATTGACCTTAATTCAGATATTCAATGATTTATAAATATGTCTAATTATTTATTATATATTTATTTTTAAATATATGTAAAATTATTTATTTCTATTATACATTTTATAATACATATGATTCTAATCAGATTGTTTGTTGGCCATGCTAATAAATCAACACGAAGCACAGTTAGCATATTGTTATTTTATATTTATGCATTAAAGATAAGGTAAATCTAGACCATATTGAAAGTTGTTTTACACTATTATGAGGTTATTACGAGAATACCTCAAAGTATGCACTCAGACAGTACAGTAATAAACAAATGGCAGACACCGCAACGAACGACAGTTTTGTATAAAACGACGCCCTCACAAGGCAGTATCGCGGCTATGAGGCAAAGGATTGTGGGGTAAGTGTAAAGTCGATTTCCCTGATACGATTACGTCCGACCTCCGAAAAGTTCGATACGCGTTTCTTACCATTTGCGTAAAGCAATACCTATGGGTAGCAAATTGAATTGCGACTACATAGGTTTGTCAAAGATATCTGGGTTATTATTTCGTACTGTTGGTGTACAAGTAAAGTATACTGTAAACATGTTGATCGACGGTTCTGGTGTTTTTAAGTTTTGCAATGTCAATCGTCTTTTTGGGCACCATAGGGGATTCGAAGCAGAGTTTTAGACGTAATTTTCTAGCGTTGAGAAAACTTATACATATATGTAAGCAATTTATCTTGGTTATATATTATAATTTCCCAGGGCTCCTTCCCGCCTTTTTTTTTACGTGCATGCACATATTTTTGTTCACGAGCAAGCCATTTACATATTTAACCTTGGGGGCTCAACTAATAACTAATGGCTGGTATCTTGACGCTGTTACGTTTCACCAGACATACTTAGTGTCGTCGGTTCTAGTAAAGTTTACGTTTCTCTGTCTCATTTGTTTGCCCACTGTGACCCCACATAATGTGGCAATACTACAATTAACTCATAACAGACATACAATACAATTATCCGAATCACGCAACAATGGATCACAGTTCACGTTGCGTTCTCAAACAATCCAACATATAGCAATATTATGAACAGAGTTCGGAATCAATTTATCTAAATTCCCAGAAATACAAAACAGAATAAACATATTTGTATCGGGACTAAAATCGTTTTGTTTATAACAACCAGGGGAATTAACGAAATAATTTACATATCTTGAGGAATCAGTGTTGAGTGATGTGCATACGACTTCTGGGCTTCCGAGATTCCCAAATTCACTAGTTTTTTGTCCAGGATAAAATTCTGAATCTTTCATTTTGTCTAGCATGTCAATCAGATTCTTTTGTTCAAACGTGTTCCGATTTTTTCATTTGTTTTAACCAGTTTTATCCTGTATTTATATAACGTATTGTGACATTTTCTGCTCTGAATTATAACTAATGCACCTCGAAACCAACGCCAACCATTCATTGACGGCTCTAAAATATATCGCTTTCAAAACCGACATTAAAATCGTTTAATAAAACATATTATAGGACAAATCATCGGTATTATGTATTATTTGGCATACGTCTCGTACAATCTACTTGAATACTATAGACTGGCTTGTTAGTGAATCGCGTTAGCAGGTATGTATACAAGAAATACAAACACACGTATTCAACACACGTAAAACACAATAGAAGAAATATAATATATTTACCTCACACCAAACAATACTTGCAGTATTGTAACCAGACCAGATACAAAGAATATGGTAGCTATGAGTTCGCTGCGTACGGGATCAGACTTGGTAATACATAACGCATCGGCTAACAGCAGGGATATAGCTACAGTCGATCCGAACATAGTCAAATAATGCTGTAAAGATATAAGCTTATGTAAATTGCAAGACCGAACTAACAGGAGAAAATCTCCAACCAAATGTTAACCATGCAAATATATATATCATGGTTTTAGTTGTTTAATATACTAAGTTGTGACAAACTGTCACTGTCCATGAAAACATTGCGAGATTTAATGAAGTTTTCAATAAGTGAATAATTTACATTTTTATCGAAAAAATACAACTTTTATTAAATATTAGCATTATTTTGTGAACATTTTTATATCCTTTACATATGTCAAACCACATTGATTCCTGCTCCATTATTATTAACCATATATTATACAACCAACCCTGTTGACCATATTTACGGAACAATGTTGGTCGGTCGGGTCTCGTATAAATCTTAGAAATAATAACTGAAATATTGTTTTCCCGAGAGTCATTTTTGTAGATCTTCAAAATTGATAATATTGTGTCTAATTTATTTTGTTTGTAAAACGAGTTGAAAATAGAACCGAAGCGCATAGATATATTTCTCGACACAGTGTTACAGTATTAAATTTACATGATATGCTTGATGCGGTCTATAACATTCGCTCTAGTTTTGTATGTGTTTAAAATTGTTGTTGTAAAACAAACGGGCATTACACTTGGTCTAATATTCGTTGAGCTTTACTTAGATACTGCTGTTTTCAGAGCACTGTAAGAGAGTCGAAACACTACTGTACGACATACGACTGTAGTATAACAAGTAAGTAACCGAATAGTTCACTTTGCGGTAATGCTTCGGTGACAGCATTGGCATCAAAACTTATACAGTTTATACATTTTACCTGTAAACCAAGAAGTAGTGATAGATACCATGGCGGGAAATCTGCGATGCCATAAGTCATGTCACCTTGCATGGTCTTCAGAATCTGTTCAGCTTCTTCTTTAGGGGTGAGTTTATAAACCTCATTTTCTTGTGGCTAAATATAATTAGGAATTACTAGAGATGAACTAAGTGTAGAACGCACCACCAGTTAAACGGGTGTTGTGAGGACGTAGCCCAAAGCAGCGCGCCAATGTCCCCTCGTTACTTATGCACTGGATATTTTAATATAATATACTAGGCAAAATCAACTTTCAGTCCAGTTGCTTTCAAGTGTTCAGTGGGGAATTATGGACAGCATTATTAATTTTCTCTTTCTCTTCGTCAAAGTTACAAACTAACAGGTCAGCAAAATAATCAACCAAGAAATTGTCTCCAATATTAAATATTAAAACATACTTTGGAAGTAGCATAAAGTTGTTTCATTTGGAAGTAGCATAAATAAAGTGAGGGTATTGCAAAATTCCATAATCAAGTTAGTCCAGATTTGGGAATTATTCCGACAGTCAGTCCACATGATTGCTTGCAAATGTGCGAAAAAAACTTGGCCCTGCCTTCTTCCAACAAACCGACGGCGCCGTTCAACTGATAATGTGCTGAGTGGGATTAACTATTTTATGGAGATTACATAGATTTGGATAACATGTTATTCAGATGGATGAACTTATTTATGATGCTGAGTCTAGAACTCATACTATACTTTTACCTGAGTGTCTACATTGTCTCCGTCTTCTAACGTCTCGGTCATTTTATTATTTATTTTCAAACGTGAGAAAATATGTTCAAGTGATCTCTGGACATGAATCCTAAATATAAAAACGCAATGAATCAGACAAATATATAAAATAAAATGTTCAATGTAGAGAACACATTTCTGGAATACAGGATTGTAAATAAAAACTAGAGACATTTATCTGGTGTATTTACAAATTATATTAAACAAGAGAATAGATAATCGTCACATTATTTTGAATATATTTTAGGTTCAAATTCAAAATACTATGCAATTTACCATGGCCACATACAATTAAACAAAACTGTCAGGTTTCACTGATAAAATCTGTCAAGCTAAATCGTAGGGGTTTAATAGGTTATTCAATTTTCATAGGTAGATTTTTATAAATTAATTTGTTTGGGATGTCAAAAACAAAGTTACAATGGCCACTGGGCGATTGTTTCTGCCCAGATTAGCTTACAATAAAACCCTAATACTCTGTGCACTGATGACGTGCGTGGTTTCAGTTATTTTAGTGCCCAAGGCTATATTTGAAGGTATATTCACAAAATCCATCATGAATACCTGAATTGATGAAGAATATACTGTTTAGGTCACAAAATAATGTATATATGTCGAATACTTGATATAATGTATGTAGTGTTTGTTGTTAGTGTATGATATTACTCGGGAGCATTTCCATAATATTATTATCATGGTTATCGTGACCTATCAGTTAACATATTTGTATTGAATTGTAATAAATTCATATTCATATATATAGATATATTTTCTCGGGTAACGTACTTTTTATCGAACTAAATATCATCTAGGGTATCTTTCCGACATTACTTTAGCCGTAAGAACAAGCATTTAATAAATGGGCCGAATACGTCATACCATATTAAGGATATTGCGGCAATTCGTATGTACATGCTCGAAACAGCCATGGCAAAACAATATTTACATACCTCACGTCGCTGTCCTTACTTACACGTACTCTGCTAGGTGATTATACCCCACGAAATAATTTCATCACACTATTTTACTGTCATGTCCTCCCAGTATCTCTCATATTTAATTCAACCAGTTATTAATTTGCATATATGGGAATTAGAACATCCACTCTATTTTAAAGCTGGAACAGCTATTAATAGATATTGAAACCTGTACACTGGTCAGCTGGAAATCAACAGTAAATGCTATACATTTTGGCTTTTGGCTAAAGCATACTTGTAAGGGGTGCGGATAATATCTTTATTTACGATTGAGAATGATTTTTGGAGGGAGGGATTATATCGAGAGGGTCTTATTTAATCGCTTACAGACGCATCAAAACATTTACGTATAGCATCGAGTTTGCTCATGCAAACAATATAATAAAAAACTGTTCACTATGTCAAGTAGTTGTTGTGGAATATAATATTAAATGTGCATGCTAGGTGCATACAAGTATCTTTATACAATTTAATCAAATCCTTTGATCACAGGTAGTCGAATACAGCCATGGAATGCGTTTTACATACGTTTAGTAGTCCCGCGGCAGGCATCGTGTTGGCCCACGCAGAAATGTATTTAAAGAAATAAATGACATACGGCCCCGGTCATTGCATCAACAACTTATTGTGGGAAGTAACACCAACACGTTGTCACCAGGTTGGAACTTCCTATCCCGGGCCACCCTATTATAGTAGTTTTTGTATCTAACCTTTGCTTTAGCTCAGTTAAAATTCTTTTGGTACACCAACCCTACTATATATACTGACTAATGCACCAGCAACCACCTCTGAAGTAATTTTCGTCAACACTACAACTTCAGGATACCGTGAAGCATAGTCTACAACAGTTAAAATGTACCTCAGTCGCTGGACTGATCGGACTAATCAGATCCATAGCTATCATTTGAAATGAAATTTAAATCAAAGGCATATCGCCTAATGATACCTTGCTAACACGACCCCTAGGAGTGGTCTTGTGACTTATATCACATGACCTATCTGTAGTCTTCTTAGCACCCAAATGACCTGCGAAAACTGACTCATGAGCAAGTGCTAGTACTTTATCACGGTAACACAATGTCACAAATAACTGGGAACGCACGCGTCCTCTATCAACATGAGATGACTGAAAATAACTTGTTCAGCCCCTTGCTCATCAAAAACCTTGCCCGATTGTTACGACCTGTGATCAACTCCTCACCTGTACTCACTAAATTTTTGACACGCTCTAATGTAGAATCAGACTGCTGTGCATCTCACACTGCATCCACAGTAATATGTTTTTTACCACCATTAGTATCAACCTTACTATGTAAGTCCTTATACTCAGGAACTAAAAGCCTACATAATGGCTTTCTCTCAGCTAACTTCTGAGCCCTAGTCTGTAACACCCGTACAACATCAACACTCACTCATTCACAACCACTCCACTAACTGAAGGCTCTCTTATCTCAACACCTGGAGAACAACCTTCATCCATATAGGGCACACTAGCCTGACTACTAGTAGATGTACAACCTTCATTAGCTAGAGGAACACTAGTCTCAATACCCGAAGGAAAACAACCCTCACAACCAGAGGGCATACTAGTCCCATCACCATTATTTCTATTCCGATCACATGCCAACATAGCAGCTGACTTAACCTGAAGCTTGGAACTTTTATAACACTTAGGACAACTGACAGCAGAGTGATTTGGATCACTACAAATATAACTTAGACTGGCCAAATCGACCTTGTCCTTTACCTTTCTGATCTGTGCTCCAAAACTGACCTTTCTGACTCTGACTACCACCTTGAAACTGGCTAAATTTCAGATTTTTACCACCTGTCCGACTACGTGCATTTCTAAACTTAACTGCTAAGTCAGCCATTTTTTTAAATGACTTGGGTGATCTTTCACCTATGAAAATGGACAACTTATTACCAAAAGTACTCCTCAACTGATCTCTCATCACAAACTCTTTAGCTTCTTCAAAACTCTTATCAACTTCAGACAGCTCTAACCATTGGTAAACATAACTACCTAATCTGCCCTACCAGTTTGTAATCCCTTTCTATAACCTTCTTCATTCATATCATAACGCTTCAACAAAGCTGCCTTTACAACATTGTAATCAATGGACTTCTGCTGCAGACAATGCAGAATACACACACAAAGCTTTGCCTGTCAATAATGCACTAAGATTCTTAACCCCTGCCACGCAGCCATTTCTGAGTTGCAGCAAATCACTCAAACCTTAAAATGAATTTGTCCATCTCGTCTCTGGTCTCATCAAACAATGGTAGCTTTGAACCCTTAAACTAACAATTGGCTGAGCCATGCTGTCTTCCTTTATCTTTCTCTATTGCCTCATGTTCTCTGTTCTTACGTTCAGTCTAACATTTAGCTGCTCTCTCATCCCTCTCCTCACGCACATGCTCTCTCTCTCTCTTCTCACGCTCTGATTGAAACAGACCTTCTTCCTCATACCCCAATTCTCTACCTAACTCTCTAAGTTCATTGACAATATCCATGCTGAGAAGGTATAATTCAAGTTCCAGTAGTATTAAATAAAACAATTTAATGTCTACCAAGCAGTTCAACCTGGTCTGACAACATCGTGTTCTCTAGACATTTAACAGTCACGAAGCAGTCAATTTAGTCAGGAAATTATTGACAAATTGATAGTAAAAGAAAAATCAGAATAATACTGAATCAGAATCTCAATCTGAATCAGAATCACATTCAGAATCAAAATCACAATGCCACTTCTGACAGTGTAAGGCCTGCATATTGATGTTGCGGGGGGACACCCAGTTTCAGGTACACCACCTGGGTTTACACAGGAGCCAATCAGAATGTGGTATTCCTAGGTAATATAAAAAAAAACATAGAATAAAGGATGTCCGACATTTGTGTTGATAAATATTGACCGCCATTTTAATATTTGGTGTACTTGAGGCATTTATTCCATCAACTCAATGTGTTCAAATAAAACAGAAAAGCATGTTTTTTTTTAAAACGATGTTCTCCTCATACAGGTTGGAGAGTTATTTTAAGAGAATGCATTTATTAACACATTTGACAATATTTAATTGCCTTGAATGTATGTATTGTATATAAAAGAATCTGTCCATGTTGTCGTTGTCATTAGATTGTTGTGGTTGCAAATAAGTGCAAAACTGTTTTGTCCAATCAGCTTCAATTCTGGACATGGTATGCACCAGCTTTATAATGTATCTGTAACTTTGTTCCATTACTATACTATCATGTTATTATTATTATTATTATCTGAGGTTATTACGAATACCTCAAAGTATGCACGAAGACCTTATTATTATACATTTTTTCCTTTCAATGATATATCATGGGAATGCCGAAATCCA